CTCCTTTACGTGACTACCCTTCATTTCAAATTGATCAGCAAGTGTTTCCAGTGTTTCCTTATTAGCCGTCTCAGGCAGCCTCAACAACAAAATCGCACTTATGACAGCTAAACCGCCCATTATTGAAAACGGTAGAACCACGTGGAAGGCGACGAGCCATTTTGCCACCCAAGGTGCTAGTGAAGAACCAATATGGGCAAAGATTTGCAAGTAGCCCATGGCTGCACCCCTGTCAAGGAATTCATATATTGAAGGTATTTGAATTTTTTGCTTTATTAATTCAGTAGGCCAAGATTAACAGAGGGAAATTATTTCCACAAGGGTGCTGCCAAATTGTATATATCGTGTATGTATCAAAAGCTCTAGAATTGATTAACGTTTCGGGATATGCTCCTTCACAATAACCTTCATTTATATTTGGAGCGTAAAATGAGGAATACAAAGCAAAAGAACAAAAATAGCACACTTTACAAGCAAAGATAATAACAGCTGATTTAACGACACAAGTAAAGTTTTTTTAGGCCGTGCCGGAGATGTAATATATTTATATATATAAATGTATATATATGTAGTATATATGTAGTATATATATATATCAATATATATGTAATATATATATATATTAATATATATCATAGATTGAAGAAAGTAAAACTACATGGTTTATCTCTACAAGCCTGTTTCGTGAGTAACTCACTCTTCAGGAGACTGACATGTAGTTTTACTTTCTTCAATCTATGATATATCACGCTCTACGTGCTAACGTATTGAGCTACGGAAGTATCAAAAGACAAATTTCTATATATTAATATATATATATTTGATCAAAGTCCAAGTCGAATCTAAAATAATTTATTAAAATAATAAGGCACCTATACTAATACACTTCGACTTGTTCAGAAGATAACTGGTATTTTTTATATATTGATATTCGTCTCCAATCTTCTATTTACCTTTTTCCAATTGGTTAAGTAATCGGAAAACTCAGTGACTTTCAATGAGTTTTCGCTATTTTTGCTGAAATTTTTGCCTAACAGGATTGATTTTTTTAATTAATCTTACCTTACGCAAGTCGGGTACATTTCGGTCGACCATATGTAAATGGAATCATGTGACAACGTGATGCAAAACCTTCCAAGCACTCCAAAGAAAACTCGAAGACCAACAAGTTCTGGATGAAAAAAGTTATGTCAATCCATGTACGAATCAATCGTATCAGAATCATTTAGTTTTGCATGAAAATGGTTTATCTTTCCCGGAACAGGTGTTGACTTTAACAAGTAGGGTGATGTTTTCAAATAGTGATGTTGACGATGTCTTTAATGGTGCAGTACTGGCAGCTAATATAAGGCCGGACGTATTAGAAGTCCTGAATGGTGCAGAACTCTTCTAATTTAGGTCATGGAAGATGAAGCACTTCTCGAGGTGTGAGCATGATTTTAAACCCATTAGCAGAAAGAGGACACTGCTACAAAGTACCTAAGATGCTTCTTTGCTATGTTAGAATGTTTTGCTCAAACAAGTGACTTAATCCCCATTTGCATTGTTCCTTGGAAGCTTCAACGTAAAAAACTTTCTCTGCACACCTTTTCTTTTACACTAGCAAAATGCAATCAAGACAACTTTGCTGTGCTACCCTGAGCAGTTTTGATCCTGGTTCGAAAGCGAACGGATTTAGTATTTCCTAAATATTTTCTTAGAATTTGAACAAGGACATCACATTAAAATTTGAACGAAGACAGACAATGTTTGCAAAATAGTACCTTGACAACATTTACCCTATCTGGAATTGTACACTTTCATTTTATATATTTATAGAGGCAAACTAAGTATGAGAATGGCTGCAGCTTGAAAATCTTTGTGAAAAACTTACCCGATGGTTTGCTCCCTGACTTTTTTGGAATCAAGGAGACAGCGATGCAGGATATTCCGGCAATAAACATGGAAATAATTACTGTCTTCTTTCTTCCAATTCTACAAGATAAAGTACGTTCCTGTAGATTTGAAGTTTAGTGAGTTATCCAGGGATCATCGTCATTGACCCACTGCTGTTTATGTTATAATTAATAGTACAAGTTTCGATCCATTACTTTCCTTTAAGGCAAAATTCAGATCTTTCGACGGACGTATCTCAGCAATGTAAATGAATTTGCACATTTAGAGATATTTCCACTTTCAGATTGTATGGTCAAAAAACTTTTATATTGTTTTCATTAAGCCATACAATTTGCTCTTTAGTGATGGATTTTGATAGGATGAGCGATATAAGTTCAAGGTTTCAATATTACGCCCCCACGTAAAAAAAACAAGACATAGAACGAAGTAACTCACTTGTTGCAAAGGTATATTGCAAGAACAGCAGCTGGTATGTCGAATAAGCTGGTAATGATGTAGTCCCTGTGTATGTGGCCGCTCAAGTCACCGGCGCCAAATGAAACTCCAAAGAACACCAAGCCACACACCATCCTGAAAAACAGTAAACTATGTGTAGTTAAAATTTGCAGCAAAACTGCAGTGGTGAGTTACTTCTTCTTCACGTACACAATCACACAAGAACCCTTAGCTAATTGGCTAACTAACAAACTTTTCCACATTTCAAAAGAATTGACACGCACTGAAATCTTCCTTCACGTTTTGTAAAGTTGGCTAAACTGTGTCTGTCTCTCTCTGGTAATTAGTGACAAACCCCATCATCAATCACCATCTGTCAACAGCTATTGTATCTACCAACGACTCCACTCTATCTTGTAGAATCACAAACAAGTATTTACACACCATGTATATCCTTGGAGTAAGCTCCTTACTGCGATTTTTGCAGGCTTGAATAGGTGAAGATAATGTTTTATTCCGCTGGAACAGTTGTCTTCAATCTTCTTTAGTTGAACTTCTGGTAGCTCTTTTCCATTACACTTAGCGATCTTTCGAAAGATTGCAAGAGCCTCGTCATTTCTTCCATTCACGTGAAGCCATCTAGCTGATTCGGGAATGGCCCTTGCAAGAAAATAAGGATAGTCTATGAGAATTAACAGTCTGATAGTCTATCCAATATTGACTGGCCATGCAAAAACAGCTGAGGCAAAAAATATCGCAGTCAACAGAGGTTTTTCAAGAAACCTTCAAAAAATATTGTTCCACAACTCTCCCTTCTTTCTGCAGCCAGTTTCTTTGTATCGACATCAAAAGATATTATTTAAAAATTAAAAGAGTTAAATCAATTGCTTCTCGATTAAACAGTCTTGGTGTGGCTTTGTTGTTTCATGTAGCCTGCGTGCAGACTCTACTGTTTTCAACTAGGCTCCTCAGTTTCTACCTTTCCGCTGAGTTGAGTTGAATTAAATCGCTCGCAAGTGACTTAAAGTCATTTTGAGGACTGGGACCAAATCAAATGTTCTAAAAATAGCTTTTAACTGAATTTTTCGGCTTGAGTCTGTTTTGCAATTTATTCTACACTTTAAAGTAAATAAGTTGTGAAGTTTCATGCTGGTATCATATTCTGCACGATTGTTGTGCCTTGAGTGCTGGATGGTATCTTAGTAGCAAATGGAACCCTTTCCTTCCTTCCCTAGTCTTTGGTTTTACTATCCGAATTATCAAGAAGACATATATATATAAATATATTCCTTTGCTATATGGCATATTTGTTTTTAGTTGTTCTCTCTCTAATCTACGTACTGAACTTAGCTTTTGTTCTAAAACTGAAAAGTGGCCCAGTCCTATTCCAGGTTTAATGAATATGAACTGCGTACACCCTAAAATCAAAATAGAAAACCAATACAAAAAATGGTCGGTTGAAACTTCAAACATCACACTCAGTACTCTAACAGAGATTGGCAATGCACGTCCTATCTTTCCTTAGGGCCTAAGCTTAATATTGTGCTAATCCACACGGCCAAGAAAAAGAAGGATCCCTGAAAATGAATAAGAAAATTTCATGGATTAAACTTACAAGAAAAACAGCAAGATGAAAAAATATGGAGCTGTGATGACTATCATCAGTGTTTTCCACGTCTGAACGAAGATGGCTATAACACCAAGGATGACAACGCTTACTGCAGATATTAGCCAAATTGCTATACCCGCAAATGGACGCCATTTTGGGCCTACAAATTCTGAAATTAGAACTATTGACTGTATAAAAGTTCCTGGTATGAAGAACCCAAACACTGCTCGTGCAAAAATGTAGAACCAATTACTTGGAGAGAACGAGCTGATGAACCCAAACAAAAGGATAAAAGTTGTCGATATCAGCATATTGATTCTTCTACCATACCTAAAAACAAGATCCAAGTTTTAAGCAAAATGTTCAACATTGACAGCGATAATGAAAAGGGCTGGCGCAGTATTGGAAACACAGAATAGAACAATAGGACTGAATGGCTGGGCCACTCCTTCTTTTGGGGACACTCTTAAGAGAATAATTTGGCACACCTTATATTGCCACAGGATTTCCTTCGTTTTAAATTTTTTTTACGCTTATCAAGCACGAGAAAAAGTGTCGTTAGAGAAACAAAGCAGACATGACGTGAAACCGCTGATGTTTCTATACATTTTATTACGATCAATAGGTCATCAGTTTCATTGTGGACCGAAAATGATTCAGTTTTCCAATCACTTACCTATCTGACGCCCAACCAAGAACGACTGCTCCAAATGCCCAGCTGATAAAAACTGAAGATGTGGCCAAGTAACTGTATACTTCAGTGTCGCAGTGCAAATCGAACTGAAATAAACGTTCATTTTAAATTTGAAGTATAGAGTAAAACCCCGTTTGTAAGTGCCAGCATTTTCGGTTACCCCTATCTAGACCAAGCTCTTTTGAGCATCCTCAGGCTAATTCAGCCTCCCTCCCCCCGTCATTTTTCCAGACTGGTTAGCAGTAGAGGGTTAAGATTTCTATACGATTATACCCATCAAAATATCATGACGTCATAATGAAATTTTAAATCTTATCAATTTTTTTCATATTTAGCACAAAAATCTTTAAGATTCACTTAAGATATCACAGAAACGTAATTTAATGTAGGTTTCGCGAAAGCTAAACAAAACAGCTTATCATAAACAATGATGTCACTAAAGAAACAAGATTTTTTGCGCAAGTCTAGATACAGGTCTCATGCCTTCCTATATCCCACTCAGAAGCACAGGATGAATCAAAACAAATCAAATATCATTTAATAAGTAAAAGCTTACTTTCCTCATGTTGGCAATTTCTAAAGATAGTTTTTGAGTTTTTTAACAACGGCAAAATGTTTCTTACGATTAAAATTGTAATGATTACATTTGGCAAGGTAGCCAATGATTTGACGTTGTCTAAAGAGAACTCTTTTAAAATCTTTTTGCCATGGCAACTGTATGCATGAGCATCACTGCTGAAAATTCTTGTTTGCGTAAGAATATGAGAGAGGGGCTAAATCACCCCTCACCTTTCTGGTTCAGATAGGATTTAGCGTAAACGGGTACTTCAACATACTGCTAGTTAGACCCTGTTTAACCGGAGTTAGTCCGGAGGATCGCCTCCAACACCCCTAAGTTAGGCATGCGTTATTTACCCCAGATGGTGTCGGAGCACATTCCTTGCTAATCTTCGTTCACAAGCCGAGTTCGAGTTTTTCCCACCTTCCTTTTTGTTTATTGGTTCTTGAGTTTCTACTTTCTTCCGTTTCTCGGTAGGCCTTAGCTTTCCTAATGGTACTTATCTTTGATTGACGCTTGGCCAACAGAAATGAGTGAGGGTGGGTAAAGGTGGCTTAGGTTATATGGGCCTGCGAAATAATGTTATTTGTGATTTATATGTATAAAACCATGATAACTAACGTAGCTCCTTATTTTATCTTGATAAAATTTCAACCTTTTCACCAAAAAGATTGTTTAATTATCGTTATTCCTAATTTTCGCAGAAGCCAACAGGCGCCTGACAAAGATAATTTAAGAAAAAATGTAAGTAATCGTTTATACGTTTGCATGTCGAAATAATGCTTGACAAGCAACTTAGGCTACGTCCACACTGCTCCGTATTCGTTGATGAAAACGCTGTCTGTTCACATTGATCCGTTATCAAATGAATACAATTTAAATACGGTAAGTGTTCACACAGCTCCAACAAAAACGCTGTTGGTTTGGTGGCCTCATCTTTGAAAAGAGGCGTTCACGAATCCTCAACAAATTAGCGTCATTATGAATAAAGTTAAATAAAAAGTTGTTGTAACAGCTACCAGTCTATTGTGAATTCTCAATTTCAAATTTTTTTTAGATTTGGTGTGCTAGAAAGCCTCTAAATCTCTCACTGATTGGTAGCCTCTAAATCTAATCGCTGATTGGTAAAAAACAAAGAGTCCTTCTTCCTTTCACGTTACTTTCAATCAACACCTTTATTTTATTTTATTCTATTTCATTTGTTTTAAAATTCTTTACCTAGGGTTACAATTCAGTTTGAATAACACTTTTACCACATGCCCTGCAACTTAAAATCAAAATAAGTAAGTTTAGTTTCGCCATAGCATCCCCATACTGAGCAACAATAGCTGAGATGGGGCTCGACGATACTTAAATACATGTTCCTTAACGTTTCCACTTGTAGAATTGTTTGGCATCTTTCAAAAGCCCAAGGGCTCCTGAGATTTTCTTTTGAAGGAACTTTGCCTGGCTTCCCCATTTCAAATTTTCGTCAATCATGACACCAAGATATTTAGTTTCATGCACAAGTTCTAAATCTTTCCCGTTAACTTGGAAGCAAGGGGTGATTTCTGATGTTTTGTTTATCTGCCCAGCTTTTGGGCTGAACCAACTATCATGGCTTGTGTTTTGACGATATTCAAGGAAAGCTTATTGCCCTGCAACCATTTCTCGAGGTAGGCAAGTTTTGCATTGACAACAACGTCAATTTCTTCGATTTTATCCGAAGAGTGGGAGATGGCTGTATCGTCGGCGTACATAGTAGCATGTGCCTTTCTTAAAGCGAAAGGAAGATCATTTATATAAAGCAAAAATAAGAAAGGTCCAAGGCAAGATTCTTGTGGTACCCCAATATTAATTTCTGCTGAAGCCATTGACTTTGCAGCACTGCCTACGATTGTGGAGATAAGAGCTGAAACATTGGTGTTCGAGACCATCAATCCCATAGTGGTGCATATTATGAACTATGACTATTCGTTTGGTTGAACTACAAGTTGGTTGTTGACTTGTTAACTTTTCAGCAGTTTTGTTAGGTCAGCGGTTTTGTTAGGTCAGCGGCTTTGTGTTGTTAGGCCGCTATTTTGTTTTTTGTAAGCACGTGTGGTAGCCTTCGTTCTTATTGCTTAGTAAAGCCTATTTTCTACGGCAATGACTCGTTAAATATTTATTACAGTGCATTTTATCAAGGAGAATTTTATGGTCTACGGTGTCAAATGCTTACTTTTAACTGATGAAAATCATTGCAGTATATTTACCCCGATCTATATTGCAGTTCCAATCATTTGTACATTTAAGCAAACAGGAAACAACCGAATGGATATGTCCAAAGCCGTACTGATCTGAGTACAGATGTTTGTTAGAATCGAGGTACTTGTAAAATTGATCATATATGAGTTTTTCAAAAAACCTGGAGACAACCGGTAAGACCGATATTGGCCTATAGTTCGAGCAATCATCAGCCCTGCCATCACCTGGGTATAAACATTCAGCACTCTTCTGATCAGGGGTCCCGTCCAAAAAAGTTAGAAAGGGGCTGTGCTGTAGCGAGTTTCTAAAAGTCACACCCAGGACTTCGCCTATAGCCACAACCAATATACTTGCATTTGTGTTAAAGGTTCGCTGTTGGGTAGATGAAACCACTCAAGCTGTTAAAAAACACAGCAAGATTGATAGGAAATCACTTATTGAAGGAAAATCACGAGAAAAAAGGGTTAATTCACACTTTTCAAATAAGAAAATCGCTATACCGAATATATACTGGCTTAGTAAGGAGAAGCGCACTCCTCCTTTCATTATAAACCCTTGTTTGCTAGAGATTGTATGAAATATCCAATAATGTGTATATTTACCACAAGCATGTGAAAACATCAATGCTTCTGTTTAGCTAAACTAATTTTGCAAGGCTCGTTTCAATTAAGTCTAATTTTGCAGAAAAAGTTTTGCAACTAGTGCTATCCATTATTTTCGTTTTTTATATTTCACATCAAAATTGACAGTACATATTCATTGGCCCATTTGTTTTATTTATCTATCAGTTCTATTAGGGTTGTTAGTTAATCATGATGATTTTAGTCATAAATTGTTAACAATACTTTTCGTGGAAATGATGACCAAATGATTCTCCATTCAGTTTCATGTGATTAATTGTTTCATTTACAAATTTGAGCTTATCTCTAAACTTTTCAAATGAACTTAAGCCTCCAAATTGAAAGAAATTAGGAAAACAATACAATTCTTGATTCAAACTAACTTACCTACTATACTGAACTAATGTTTATTAATGGCTTCCTGAAAATTCTTTTTGGTTATTGTCAGAATTTTGTCTAGTACAGAAAATACCAACAAACCAAAACAAGTTCATTTCGTGGTGTAACGAGGTAATTGCTAAGTAACAGGAAAAGCTCATCCCAAAGGTTCATCAGATTATTTTTGGAGTACCAAAAACTTATTTATCCAATTTTAAGCATCAATCTAATCTTGTGTATGTATTGTTTTCATGTAAATGTACCAGCCCACTGTAAATAAATCAATAATAGAATGATAATCATAACTTAGTTAATGCCATCTCGCCTGATCGCATGGTCCATGGAACCTTTGGATCACCAAAAGAAATTGAAATTGCTTCTAGAACGAATGAAACTGTTCAGTCGCATAAACTGATACACAATGTTCAGTGCTGTGTTGGTGATTTTGATGGGGTTCAAATCAAGAATTCGGACATTAACCCCCTTTCACCAACACAAGAAATGGGAACATGATATTATTCTGTTCTAAATTTGGAACAACTAACACAGTTGCTCTGAATTAAGGTTCAGTAGGAATGAGCTGGTTAAGATTTACCTGTGTGACTATTGAGTATTCTTTTGGCTTTGTGAATTCCCATTCTGACTTTGGCATATTGCATCGGTATTGATAGAATCGGCTATAAGAATCAAACGTTCCATTAAGACGGCAAAGTGTACTATTTGAAACGCATGTCCATGGAGGACTGTCTTGCGCAAAGTACGGGACGAGTATGAGCATTGAACTTGGAATTACCATAACACAAAATGCAACTTCTAGAAGAATCTGAAACTTTCCAAATTCTCCGATGTATGGCAGAATCTCATCCATGGTCAACGGTTGTGTAATAGTATCGACCGGTGTTGTAGCCATTGTGTTTTGATATGCGGTTCTTGGTGGTGTAGGACAAAACCACAATGACGTTCTCTATATAACTTTGCTTTGTACAAAACACTTTATTGTACTTAAACCAGTTTAAAATAAAGAGATTTTTGTCTGATTTCCAAAGCTTATAACCTGAAAATGTTTGAGGAGAGTGGCCAGCTCACAATGATTCCAGGCAAAGGATTGAAGCAACGTTGAAAAGAGCGATTGGGAAATTGCTCGATAAACAAGCAACAAATACAACTAACCCGCATCTTCTGTAATTCCACTGTGCAGTCGCATAGCAGTGGAATGGTGCATTTTATAATTCGTCTTTTTTTACCTTGCCGAGACAAGTTTTATGCGATCTTGAGAAACTGTCGGTATGGCGAAATATTTCCAACTGAACAAAAATGTGTTTCAATTTTGTAAAATTTCAATGATGTAATTTTTTTGTTGCTAAGAACAATAGAGTACCGAAGTGTGACGTCATCAAAAAACCAATTTTTAGAATTTCTTAAATTTGGCCACATAATCTGAAAGAACGGCATAAAATACCTCTCAATATGCAAAATTAGTTAGATATGTTCCAAAGTGGGCGAGATATGACCGATGAAAGATTTCAAGTTTGCTAACGGGTTACTGTTCTTCTGGCCTGGTTCATAAAGTTATGAAAAAAGATCAAATTACAGAGGTTTGATAGGGCAAGAGCCTGTGCTCAAGTGGCCATATCTCAACCAATTCGTAATGCCTTTAACTGATTTTGCATATTTAGAGGTATTTCCTGATGGTCTTTCAGGTTCTGCGATAAAAATTCAGAAATTCTAAAAATATATTTTTATGACATCATCACTTCGGTACTCTATGAAAAGTGGTAGTTCTTGCGATTAGAAAAGTGTAGGTTTTAAATTTTCTACAGAAAAGAATGATAAAGGCTTCGAATGTTTAAGCCAGTGCAAAAACTGTAGAAACCTTATCTAGATGGACGGTTATTAGCATATTCTGAATCGAGGGACGCTTTTTGTGGTACCTGTCGAAAAACGTGTTCTTGCATTGTGCGTGGAGCAGGATGCATTGTGTGTGGTCCAGGATGCATTGTGCGTGGAGCAGGATGCATTGTGCGTGGAGCAGGATGCATTGTGGGTGGAGCAGGATGCATTGTGTGTTGAGCATGATGCATTGTGCGTGGAGCAGGATGCATCGTGGGTGGAGCAGGATGCATTGTGCACGGATGAGGATGCATTGTGAGTGGAGCATGATGCATTGTGCGTGGAGCAGGATGCATTGTGCGTGGAGCAGGATGCATTGTGTGTTGAGCAGGATGCATTGTGCGTGGAGCAGGATGCATTGTGCGTGGATCAGGATGCATTGTGTGTGGAGCAGGATGCATTGTGCGTGGAGCAGGATGCATTGTGTGGGACTAATATGCATTGTCTAAAATAGCTTTTTGGGGCGTTTTTGAAGTTGTTCTGCATCTCATCATTTTCACCATGTCAAATTTTGTACTTGTACCCAATTAATGCTTGACTATAAAATGCACATTTCATCCTTTTTACTGAATTAATTTTGACCAAATCAATTTTCTGAAAAGTCTGAGCATCATTGAAGAACTAAGCAAAACAAGAATGCTCGGCTAAAAGTCTGGAAGTGGGGTATTTCAACAACGCTCATTAAAGCATAGTATGCTCCTTTCAATTTTGTCTCACCAATCAATTTCATTCAGAATTTTATATTTGAAAGTTATTGATCAACCCATTTGGTGGAACTCACCATACAAATGCTCCTCCGCTTCTCTGCTTGGCACTCTGTTTCCGCGCTCGAAAGTTTGTGGCTCTGGTACCCAGGGTGAATTCAGTAATGCTTTAATAGCTCTGGTACCCAGGGAAAATTCAGTAATGCTTTAATAGCTCTTATTGTGGTTGTACATGATATACAGAACTATTAATAAAAGAGTTGTAAACGAACGATCTCACCGATTTTTATCTTTATTTTTATGATCTTGATTTTTGGTTTATGCTGCCTTAGGCCATCGATACAATAAAAACAAATCTGCTGTGTTTTTGTGCTTCTTTTCTCCAGCGAAATGAAAAGTAACTAACTAAAATACAGGGCGTATACACATAGAACAAGGAGATGTTACAGAAGTGTTGTAGATTACCTTGCTGTGGGTACGGAGACGATGGAAGGTGTTAATGGCTATGATAAAATGGAGAACATGATTACATTCGACAATGGTCACTGCAATGCTTCCTTTTTTCCTGAAGGATTGGGGGAGAGGGGGGGGGTTAGAAGTTTTACCAAGTTTTCATTTGACTTGGTGATCAGCATTGTGCCATCGTAATGCTTCATTTAAAGTAAATTAATGTACTAAACTTTCATGCAACTTGCACTCTTTTTATAAGGAACTTCTTTATAAAAAACCTGCATGTAGTAGGCAGAAAAAACTAAAGAACCTTTTGTTTTAAGAACAAACACCTTAAGGAGCTTCTCACCTTTGGAATTTTTTATTCTTGCAAACAATCAAGTTAGGAAGCCGTTTCCATCCATTTTTGTGTAAAGATGGTAGCGATCGAAGGTTTCATTGTGTAATTTCGAGTTTTACATTTTTTCTTGACCGAGTTTCCACTTTTCATACATGAAACGTCTTTCTAGTTTATTATCCGTTTTTCACCTTATTTGCCATCTACAGTTAAGAATCTAGCGACACTAACACAGAATTGTAATGGAGGATGAGCACTTTTCGTAAATTAAGAAACTATTAAGGAACTTTGAGTACTACAATTCGATCAAAAAATCTAAAGATCAGGAACTTCGAGTACAGGAGCAGTATTTTGCTCCTCCTTGCTGATGGAGGGTGGGAAATATCATGCAGTTAGGTCTTTTATCTCATTAACGTTTTCCTTCTCTTCTTTTAGATCTACCTCCTTTACGTGACTACCCTTCATTTCAAATTGATCAGCAAGTGTTTCCAGTGTTTCCTTATTAGCCGTCTCAGGCAGCCTCAACAACAAAATCGCACTTATGACAGCTAAACCGCCCATTATTGAAAACGGCAGAACCACGTGGAAGGCGACGAGCCATTTTGCCACCCAAGGTGCTAGTGAAGAACCAATATGGGCAAAGATTTGCAAGTAGCCCATGGCTGCACTCCTGTCAAGGAATTCATATATTGAAGGTATTTGAATTTTTTGCTGTATTAATTCAGTAGGCCAAGATTAACAGAGGGAAATTATTTCCACATGGGTGCTGCCAAATTGTATATATTGTTTATGTATCAAAAGCTCTAGAATTGATTAACGTTTCGGGATATGCTCCTTCACAATAACCTTCATTTATATTTGGAGCGTAAAATGAGGAATACAAAGCAAAAGAACAAAAATAGCACACTTTACAAGCAAAGATAATAACAGCTAATTTAACGACACAAGTAAAGTTTTTTTAGGCCGTGCCGGAGATGTAATATATTTATATATATAAATGTAAATATATGTAGTATATATATATATCAATATATATGTAATATATATATATATTAATATATATCATAGATTGAAGAAAGTAAAACTACATGGTTTATCTCTACAAGCCTGTTTCGTGAGTAACTCACTCTTCAGGAGACTGACATGTAGTTTTACTTTCTTCAATCTATGATATATCACGCTCTACGTGCTAACGTATTGAGCTACGGAAGTATCAAAAGACAAATTTCTATATATTAATATGTATGTATTTGATCAAAGTCCAAGTCGAATCTAAAATAATTTATTAAAATAATAAGGCACCTATACTAATACACTTCGACTTGTTCAGAAGATAACTGGTATTTTTTATATATTGATATTCGTCTCCAATCTTCTATTTACCTTTTTCTAATTGGTTAAGTAATCGGAAAACTCAGTGACTTTCAATGAGTTTTCGCTATTTTTGCTGAAATTTTTGCCTAACAGGATTGATTTTTTTAATCAATCTTACCTTACGCAAGTCGGGTACATTTCGGTCGACCATATGTAAATGGAATCATGTGACAACGTGATGCAAAACCTTCCAAGCACTCCAAAGAAAACTCGAAGACCAACAAGTTCTGGATGAAAAAAGTTATGTCAATCCATGTACGAATCAATCGTATCAGAATCATTTAGTTTTGCATGAAAATGGTTTATCTTTCCCGGAACAGGTGTTGACTTTAACAAGTAGGGTGATGTTTTCAAATAGTGATGTTGACGATGTCTTTAATGGTGCAGTAATGGAAGCTAATATAAGGCCGGACGTATTAGAAGTCCGGAATGGTGCAGAACTCTTCTAATTTAGGTCATGGAAGATGAAGCACTTCTCGAGGTGTGAGCATGATTTTAAACCCATTAGACATAAAGAGGACACTGCTACAAAGTACCTAAGATGCTTCTTTGCTATGTTAGAATGTTTTGCTCAAAGAAGCGACTTAATCCCCATTTGCATTGTTCCTTGGAAGCTTCAACGTAAAAAACTTTCTCTGCACACCTTTTCGTTTACACTAGCAAAATGCAATCAAGACAACTTTGCTGTGCTACCCTGAGCAGTTTTGATCCTGGTTCGAAAGCGAACGGATTTAGTATTTCCTAAATATTTTCTTAGAATTTGAACAAGGACATCACATTAAAATTTGAACGAAGACAGACAATGTTTGCAAAATAGTACCTTGACAACATTTACCCTATCTGGAATTGTACACTTTCATTTTATATATTTATAGAGGCAAACTAAGTATGAGAATGGCTGCAGCTTGAAAATCTTTGTGAAAAACTTACCCGATGGTTTGCTCCCTGACTTTTTTGGAATCAAGGAGACAGCGATGCAGGATATTCCGGCAATAAACATGGAAATAATTACTGTCTTCTTTCTTCCAATTCTACAAGATAAAGTACGTTCCTGTAGATTTGAAGTTTAGTGAGTTATCCAGGGATCATCGTCATTGACCCACTGCTGTTTATGTTATAATTAATAGTACAAGTTTCGATCCATTACTTTCCTTTAAGGCAAAATTCAGATCTTTCGACGGACGTATCTCAGCAATGTAAATGAATTTGCACATTTAGAGATATTTCCACTTTCAGATTGTATGGTCAAAAAACTTTTATATTGTTTTCATTAAGTCATACAACTTTGCTCTTTAGTGATGGATTTTGATAGGATGAGCGATATAAGTTCAAGGTTTCAATATTACGCCCCCACGTAAAAAAAACAAGACATAGAACGAAGTAACTCACTTGTTGCAAAGGTATATTGCAAGAACAGCAGCTGGTATGTCGAATAAGCTGGTAATGATGTAGTCCCTGTGTATGTGGCCGCTCAAGTCACCGGCGCCAAATGAAACTCCAAAGAACACCAAGCCACACACCATCCTGAAAAACAGTAAACTATGTGTAGTTAAAATTTGCAGCAAAACTGCAGTGGTGAGTTACTTCTTCTTCACGTACACAATCACACAAGAACCCTTAGCTAATTGGCTAACTAACAAACTTTTCCACATTTCAAAAGAATTGACACGCACTGAAATCTTCCTTCACGTTTTGTAAAGTTGGCTAAACTGTGTCTGTCTCTCTCTGGTAATTAGTGACAAACCCCATCATCAATCACCATCTGTCAACAGCTATTGTATCTACCAACGACTCCACTCTATCTTGTAGAATCACAAACAAGTATTTACACACCATGTATATCCTTGGAGTAAGCTCCTTACTGCGATTTTTGCAGGCTTGAATAGGTGAAGATAATGTTTTATTCCGCTGGAACAGTTGTCTTCAATCTTCTTTAGTTGAACTTCTGGTAGCTCTTTTCCATTACACTTAGCGATCTTTCGAAAGATTGCAAGAGCCTCGTCATTTCTTCCATTCACGTGAAGCCATCTAGCTGATTCGGGAATGGCCCTTGCAAGAAAATAAGGATAGTCTATCAGAATTAACAGTTTGATAGTGTATCCAATATTGACTGGCCATGCAAAAACAGCTGAGGCAAAAAATAACGCAGTCAACAAAGGTTTTTCAAGAAACCTTCAAAAAATATTGTTCCACAACTCTCCCTTCTTTCTGTAGCCAGTTTCTTTGTATCGACATCAAAAGATATTATTTAAAAATTGAAAGAGTTAAATCAATTGCTTCTCGATTAAACAGTCTTGGTGTGGCTTTGTTGTTTCATGAAGCCTGCGTGCAGACTCTACTGTTTTCAACTAGGCTCCTCAGTTTCTACCTTTCCGCTGAGTTGAGTTGAATTAAATCGCTCGCAAGTGACTTTAAAGTCATTTTGAGGACTGGGACCAAATCAAATGTTCTAAAAATAGCTTTTAACTGAATTTTTCGGCTTGAGACTGTTTTGCATTTTATTCTACACCTTAAAGTAAATAAGTTGTGAAGTTTCATGCTGGTATCATATTTTGCACGATTGTTGTGCCTTGAGTGCTGGATGGTATCTTAGTACAAATGGAACCCTTTCCTTCCTTCCCTTGTCTTTGGTTTTACTATCCGAATTATCAAGAAGATATATATATATAAATATATTCCTTTGCTATATGGCATATTTGATTTTAATTGTTCTCTCTCTAATCTACGTACTGAACTAAGCTTTTGTTCTAAAACTGAAAAGTGGCCCAGTCCTATTCCAGGTTTAATATATATGAACTGCGTACACCCTAAAATCAAAATAGAAAACCAATACAAAAAATGGTCGCTTGAAACTTCAAACATCACACTCAGTACTCTAACAGAGATCGGCAATGCACGTGCTATATTTGCTTAGGGCCTAAGCCTAATATTGTGCTAATCCACATGGCCAAGAAAAAGAAGGATCCCTGACAATGAATAAGAAAATTTCATGGATTAAACTTACAAAAAAAACAGCAAGATGAAAAAATATGGAGCTGTGATGACTATCATCAGTGTTTTCCACGTCTGAACGAAGAAGGCTATAACACCAAGGATGACAACGCTTACTGCAGATATTAGCCAAATTGCTATACCCGCAAATGGACGCCATTTTGGGCCTACAAATTCTGAAATTAGAACGATTGACTGTATAAAAGTTCCTGGTATGAAGAACCCAAACACTGCTCGTGCAAAAATGTAGAACCAAATACTTGGAGAGAACGAGCTGATGAACCCAAACAAAAGGATAAAAGTTGTCGATATCAGCATATTGATTCTTCTACCATACCTAAAAACAAGATCCAAGTTTTAAGCAAAATGTTCAACATTGACAGCGATAATGAAAAGGGCTGGCGCAGTATTGGAAACACAGAATAAAACAATAGGACTGAATGGCTGGGCCACTCCTTCTTTTGGGGACACTCTTAAGAGAATAATTAGGCACACCTTATATTGCCACAGGATTTCCTTCTCTTTAAATTTTTTTTACGCTTATCAAGCACGAGAAAAAGTGTCGTTAGATAAACAAAGCAGACATCGTGAAACCGCTGATGTTTCTATACATTTTATTACGATCAATAGATCATCAGATTCATTGTGGACCAAAAATGATTCAGTTTTCCAATTACTTACCTATCTGACGCCCAACCAAGAACGACTGCTCCAAATGCCCAGCTGATAAAAACTGAAGATGTGGCCAAGTAACTGTATACTTCAGTGTCGCAGTGCAAATCGAACTGAAATAAACGTTCATTTTAAATTTGAAGTATAGAGTGAAACCCCGTTTGTAAGTGCCAGCATTTTCGGTTAACCCTATCTAGACCAAGCTCTTTTGAGCATCCTCAGGCTAATTCAGCCCCCCCCCCCGTCATTTCTCCAGACTGGTTAGCAATAGAGGGTTAAGATTTCTATATGATTATACCCATCAAAATATCATAACGTCATAATGAAATTTTAAATCTTATCAATTTTTTTTATATTTAGCAAAAAATTCTTTAAGATTCACTTAAGATATCACAGAAACGTAATTTAATCTGGGTTTCGCGAAAGCTAAACAAAACAGCTTATCATAAACAATGATGTCACTAAAGAAACAAGATTTTTTGCGCAAGTCTAGATACAGGTTTCATGCCTTCCTATATCCCACTCAGAAGCACAGGATGAATAAAAACAAATCAAATATCATTTAATAAGTAAAAGCTTACTTTCCTCATGTTGGCAATTTCTAAAGATAGTTTTTGAGTTTTTTAACAACGGCAAAATGTTTCTTACGATTAAAATTGTAATGATTACATTTGGCAAGGTAGCCAATGATTTGACGTTGTCTAAAGAGAACTCTTTTAAAATCTTTTTGCCATGGCAACTGTATGCAAGAGCATCACTGCTGAAAATTCTTGTTTGCGTAAGAATATGAGAGAGGGGCTAAATCACCCCTCACCTTTCTGGTTCAGATAGGATTTAGCGTAAACGAATACTTCAACATACTGCTAGTTAGACCCTGTTTAACCGGAGTTAGTCCGGAGGATCGCCTCCAACACCCCTAAGTTAGGCATGTGTTATTTACCCCAGATGGTTTCGGAGCACATTCCTTGCTAATCTTCGTTCACAAGCCGAGTTCGAGTTTTTCCTACCTTCCTTTTTGTTTATTGGTTCTTGAGTTTCTACTTTCTTCCGTTTCTCAGTAGGCCTTAGCTTTCCTAATGGTACTTATCTTTGATTGACGCTTGGCCAACAGAAATGAGTGAGG